TCATACTGGTCATTACTGATACTTGCTGTAATACGTTTTCATCAAAAGGAATACAGCATGGTACTAAAAGAGTAACTAACTACAAGTCTGAAGTCTGATTCTAACCTACTGATGATTTGTTTGTACAAAGAGATTAAAGTATAACTAAATAAATGGAACGTCCTATAAGGTGCTGTCATTCAACAAAGTGACCTGTAATTACTGCTGTGTTCTTTAAGTAAATAACTTTGAAAATATGTACTGGAAATAGCCTAGCGTGTTTCATAATATCCAACCAGATTTAACAGTGAAGTTTTTACTAAATTAGATGATATTAATGTCAGATAAAGCTTCTATAAATGCATTGTCAGTAACCTGGGAAAGTAGTATGTGAATACTAACATCAAAACTAGGCATGCCAGAGAGGTATTTATATACCGATGCTGTAGATGACACATGATCTTTTGCTGCCAAATTTTGAGCTTGTAGTCGTGCTTTCTATAGCTTTGTTTTTCTCCCCAAAGTGGTGATATCTATCCTTTAATATTTTTGTTGTTTGAAGTTTTTAAGGAGTTGTAATATTTTGTATTAAATCATCTACGTGCATTGCTCGTATGGTCTTTTTTGAGCAAGAAAGTAAAAGATCAAAGAAATTGTGCATATAGACTTAAAAAATCAGGATGTAGAGCAAATCAAAATGAAGAAATTTGTAGGTGTATTCAATTTAAGTAATCACTGTGGAATACTTAAATTGCATGTGAGCTTAACAGCCTACTTTCTAAATGTAAAACAAATGAATGAGGTCTGAGATCTTGAATTGTGGAAAAAGGTAAAATGTTCCTAATATTCAACAGCAGTTCATGACTACCTCAATGCAATTGCTTTTCGAGCAAGGTAGCATACCTTGGCATGAAAAGAAGGGTACTGAATTGGTGTTTTGAGCTCAGGCTCTTCTCAATTCTGTGAATACTCTCCAAAATTATTTGTCTTGAGGGTTGCTCATCTGGAATTGCTTTGTATTTCTGCACTAATGCCAATGCCTGACTTCTTCCTTTTTTTCTTTTTTTAATTCCAGTGTAATATACATTGTGTCATAAGCTTTCACTGGTCCGCATGTTTTTACGTTTAATAGGGAGGAAATGTAGATATCTATCCTTATTCTAATTTGGGCAAGCTGTAATTTGGTTGCATTATATACTTAGCTCAAGAAATGGGAAAGCTGAGAATCGGGCCTCTTGCCTAGGTCTAACTGTTAAGCTAAATTGAACTTAAGTTGGTGGACTGAAAAATACTGCTCTTCAGTGGAAGAGAGCGCTTATGGTGTATGTATCATGAGGAATTTTTAGAAACTGAACTCTTTAAACAGAATATTTTGCTACTCCAGTTGTTATGATGGACATGAATTTATATTGAACTCTAAACCCGTTCAACTTTGGCAAAAGTAGCTGCTCTACAGTACCCCAATCTTCAAAGCATTGGTCTTAATAACTTAATATTGTTATGCCTTTTGAGAAGGAGATTGTGAACTCTATGCATCCAACAAATCAGGCAAAAAAGCCAAGCTGTTGTAGGTGAGCTGTTGGTGTGTGCTTGATTAACCTTTGGTAAGACATAGCAGCTGAGGGCAATCCCTACAGAAAGAATTTGCAGAACATTGAAGTAAACTTTCCAAATGTGGTGTAATTGTTCGCCAGCCTTACCCTTGCCTCTCTATTTAGTCTTTTCCCATGTCCTTACGCAGTATGAGTGTTCCCTGCTTTTGGGGTTCTCAACTTACTCGGTCCTTATACCTGTAGTCATAGATCATCTGTTTCTCACCTAATGCTTTTTCTGTTCTATTGCAGTAAGAGAACAAAGCACTACTGCCTGTGTTCAGTTGAAAACCTTTCTGGAGGGAGAGCTTCTGGACAGCGTTGTAGTTTGACTTGGGATTTTGCAGTCCCAAACTTAATCTCTTTCTAGGTTGTACCATCTTGAAAATCTAGTGCTAAATCAGCCTTGTGGCCCCTTTTAATAATAAATATGCATTATTCTTTTCAACTATACAAATAAAATAGGATTCTTCTCTTACTGTAACTTTTACTAATTGCTGAAACACGTACTATTCCTGTAGGGTTGGAGCTGATGCACTTTTGAAGAATTTTTTTATTTCCTGTTCTGTTTGAGCTCGTTGCCCAGAGTCACTTCATGATGATGATTGCTGTTAAGCACACGTTATTAACAATGTTACTGCCATGTAGTTAACTTCAGTTCATTATACAGTAGTAAGAATAACAATGGAAGTCTGTAAATATAGGTTTTATATGTACTAATGTGTTGATGAAACCTGCACTTTATCTTATAGCTATTTCAAGATGACATTGCTGACATCTACTTTTATATGATGTTTCCCAAGTAGATAGCATTGGGAAATACTCAAAGTGAATTCACACATGGCCCAGCTATTACAAAGACTTCGTATTCACAGTTGTGTTTTCTAGCGTGGAGTTGCCTCAGTGTGGTGCAGGAATGTATAATTAGGGAAGCGTAATGAAATGTGCTGTTGACAGAAAAGTATGTTTGGCATCTCGAATGCTGACCTTCTCTGACATCATTAGGCTTCTGAAGTTCTGATACAAAGATAGTAAAGTGGCTTATCTAGGTTTATTAGCTAAGTCTGACATACTGTGTTTTTATATTGTGCTTTTTTAATGCTTTTGCACAGCAATGGCAAATGTTTTCAACTTCCTTATATGTTTGTGGCCACTCTCTGTAATTTGTCACGCTCATTAGGGTTCCTGCAGTAGAAGAAAATAATGTTTGTTCATACTAATTTGGAAGGTCAAAGCGTGGCATAGAAACAACTTATCAACTAACAAACCAAAGCTGCCTCTCAAACACACCTACATTTTGCAGAATTGTTTAAAAAATACACGTTAGTTAGAAATCTTCTAGTTCCTGGAAAAATGTAAATTAATGGAAACAAAAAGAAGTAAATATATACAGGCAGTTTGTTCTCCCAAATGTTAAATCTGCATTACCTTTTAAATGGCTTCCATTTCTCTGTGAAGCTTTTCCACAGTTGGTTTTGTTATTATTCACAATGCCCTGATATGTAGGTTTTTCTGTTTTTTCCTGTAAATACTTCGAATGCTATATGTAAACAAAATAACTCAGGAAGGACTTAGAACCACCTGTTTTTGTTATACTTCAATCTCAAGTATTCCATCTTTCCTTTATATTGCTCATGTTTTACAAAGTGCATATTAACTATTTTCATCTCATACTCTCCCTCCTAAGTCAATAAATAACTTCCCCTGCAGAAGTATAGAATCCTGTAAATACTTCGAACGCTATATGTAAACAAAATAACTCAGGAAGGACTTAGAACCACCTGTTTTTGTTATACTTCAATCTCAAGTATTCCATCTTTCCTTTATATTGCTCATGTTTTACAAAGTGCATATTAACTATTTTCATCTCATACTCTCCCTCCTAAGTCAATAAATAACTTCCCCTGCAGAAGTATAGAATGTTTAATGTTCCGTGTCACACACACAAAAAAAATTAAAATATACTTGGCTCTTTCCACCATTTGTAATGAAATACAGTAGTCCTTTATGAACGCTGTAGGAAGACTGAAGAACAGTTGGAGCAACAGTTTAGACAAATGCCTGTTAATGTTCTTCCTTTTCATCTATACATCTCTGACAAAGCGTCTGATAAATGGTAGCCAGCAAAGGGATAGCTTTCCAAGTGAATATTGTTTTGCAGTGTATTGATAGTCTGTATGCAAGTGTTCAGTTAAGTATTTAATGATCACTTTATTATCCAGTGAGAGAGAATTAGTAAAACACTTATTTTACTTAATATTTGGTAAATTTTTCAATATCGGTCCCATGAATCATCTTTAGGTGTAGCTGTTAAACCTAAGAAAAATCTGCATTTCTGGTCTTAGAAAAGAGGCAGATGTGACGTGCCTGAGTCTGATCTTGGGCCTTAAAGCTATGGCTTTTGTTTGTGGGACATGGGAAAATAGAACTCAAGAGTTAGAGCTGTATAACCGTTAACGGTTTCCTTAGACCTACTTTGTGTTATAATCGCTTGCTATTAATAAGTTTAGCTTTCTTTGGATAATGAAGTAAAACAGAGTCTGGGTTTTCTGATCAAGTACTGCGCTTTGTTGCCTGATGCGGCTTTTCAGGTGCGTGGTGCTAGCAGCATCTGACTGCTCAATAAGCTGAATGTTCTACAGCCTTGACCTCTTGAGTTTTTCCCTACTGTTGGTATTCTTAAAGAAAGAGGGGTCGGTTTCTGTCTTTTTTAACACTGACTTGACTTGCCCCCACTACAGTCCTTTTTCTTTAATACATGTGACTGACTATATATAATATGTATAATTCCATTTAGTACTAACGCTTTATTTGCATTTTTCTTGTACTATTAGCACACCCATGCAACATGACAGTTTGTTAGTCCCTTTAGAAACAGCTTTATATGAACCGCAATCTTAAAGACAAAAGGCAGCAGAGCTTAGTGCTGATAATAGCATATTTTAAGTTTTGTTGGCCCAAAAAGTCAAGATGACGTAGGTTTCCCCCTTCTTCCTTTCAATGATATTATGATAGTATGATACAAGAGCTAAAATAAGGTGATTTAACATCTTCTCTTCACAAAGGTGTTTTTGTATTCTAAGTGAGCAAAATAATTTAGTTTTAAAATGCTTCCAACTGGGGAGAAGGCAGGATATTAATGAATAGAAAATTCTTTGGAGTATTCCATAGGCATCAGGCAGAAAAATGTTTTAATCCATCTTTGTTTCATTTAGCACTCTTATTGTATCGTATTACTAGAGGTGTGATGACTGTTGTTTGTATAGATGGTCTCAAGTAAGGTTGATCTTGGCCTCTAAAGAGAGGAGGCTGCTGATAACATTGGATATGTGAACAATACGAATGTAACAAAGCTCTGAAACTTTTTATGACAGTAGCATAAACGAAATATCTTGAAAGCAGCTGTATCTCACATTTTCTTTCTTGCAGGATATCTTGAATAATCTTGATTCATGTGATCTTGAAGATGATGATCTCATGCTTGATGTGGACCTGCCTGAGGACCCACCTCATGACAAAGGTTAGTAAATTAGCCAAGCAATCTTGCCGTGAAACTGCAGTACAGGCTTAAGAGATTGAGTTGCATTGTTCTGACTTCTGCTTTAATAAGCCAGTGCACTCTTCAAATTGTTTTTTCTTTAAGTAACAACTCTTTCTTTTCTGAAACATAGGAAGTGTGATATTTGTGTTCCCCCAAATACAACTCTTACATTTGAAGAATAATTCTAAAGTTAGAAATTTACTGCCTTTTATAAAAATGCAACCTTGTTGCGCACACTTTGTTTCTTTAAATTATTTTAGTAGAATAAATTTCAAACTTCTAAGTTAGTCCTTCAGCCTCATGCTTCAGCTATGTTTGAAAATGTTGTCACAGCTTTTTTTCAGCTTTGGTGAATGGCAGTGTAATTCTTCTTGAGATAATTATTTGTTTTCTTCTACAAAATAACAATATCTCCTAATATATTTTATACAATTCAGGGTAACAGAAGCCTTAAGATTTAAGATGTGTTTTTTCAAGATGTCTTTTATGCACTCTTGTGGTCAGTGAGGATACTGGCAAACTTTTCACAGGGAGGATAGTGATACCTAGATGCCATGAAAATAATACAAATCCAGACTAGAGTGAACTAGGTAAGGCAAATTATTGTCATACTTTCTCAAATCCTGGCCTGGAAAAGTTTGAGGCATTTGCTTTTGGTCTGATCTACTTATAAGAATTGTCACTGTCATGTGAATATGGGTATTAGCTTTACCTCCATGTTCAGTGGAGGCTAATATATCTTCAAATGAACAGAAACATTGAACGTGGAGGACTGTAATGCCCTACCCTGTACAAACAGCCACTGAAAGAAAAAAAGCTTTCCTTACTTTGTGTACTGTTCAGCTGCCTGCTGAAGTTTGGGGAAATTCAGTTTTTTTTGAGAGTACCTTCGAGTTCTTTGGGTGAAGACTCCTGCGCGTTTGTTAGATATGAAGACAAATTACCAGTAAATAAATGTATAATTCTTCCATCTACCACAATGGTGGCACATCATGTTTGAAGTGTGCGCATATGAAGTGCAGTACTTAATCTTTTAAATCTCAGAATAAGTTTTCCAAAGTACTTGCGTGAAAGGTGCTTACTGACAATAGTGCTAGTATTCAACTTTTAGCCCAGATAGGTGTAGAATTTTTATTTTTTACTTTTTTAATTTTCCAGAATGGAGAATAATCCAAGCCTAGGGGATATTCTTTCAATAAAGGGTAGATCAATTTCTCATAAGTTTCCTTGTTTGTAAAACATGCGGTGCATCTGCATCAGTAATTTCAAATTATTAATTTAAAAACTTAAAAATACATGCATTTTAAAGGTGAATGTTTGCCACAAAACCATAAAAAGTTCATGTTTGCCATTTAACCTAGACACAAATGAAATATAATTTTTAATTCACTGCTTGCTTAATTGCATCAATATAATAAACTTAAATCCACTCCCACTTCTACAGCTAAGTATCAATAATGTTTGTGTAGCTGGAATATGTTTTGTGACTATGACAATCTGCTGTGTAAGCTGCTGATTCAGGAGGAGAAACTTACTGCTTGAGATCAGTATTAGCTAATTACTATTATTTTTGGCATTTTTTAAAAGTTGGGATTCCATATGAAATTAATGTGGCATTAATGTGGCATAAACTGGGTATCTCTGCTATAATTGCTTCTTATCTTGAAATCACTGAATTTTTAGCAAAGAGGATCTGAAAAGAAGAATTCAAAAGCCACCTCCAGGCTTTCCTTTAAGTAAACATGAGCACTGGAAAAAGCGAAATTTATTCATTTTTAATATCCATGTGTCTCTATTCAGTGTCTCAACTTCATTTTCCAAAGCTGAAAATCATAATAAAAAAATTACTTATAAACTTATCGAGGGCTTATGTTGAATATACCCACTTGAATTTTAATGTGTTAAGAGCTGTAGAAGGATGCTTCTAAAAGAAAACAAATCTTCTGTTACTTCAGGTGAATAAGTTTATTTTCTTACCTAATTTTTTGGTTATTGAACTAGGTGATAAAAACTAAATTGTAGATACGAGTATTTGTTATAATGATATCTAACAGCACTTTTTGCCAACACTTTTTTCATAATTATGTGTGACTTCACTGACGTCAGCCTCTTAAGACTTTCCAGGTCTACAGAAGCTCTCCTTGTTTCACTTTGGAGTCTGGGATGCCGCTTGGACACTATTTATAGAAACAGTTCTAGCTCAACAAGTATGCAGTGAGTGAGGATGGCAATTTTAAATCACAGGGTAAAACTGGGCTCACTTCCCAACAACACGCAGGCTGGGAACTAAGCAGGAAGGAAGGCCTGTTTATGAGTGTCTTATGCGCAACTATGTCTGAGTAGGCAGCCAAATAAAACAATGTTCTCTTGTGTAGAGTTATTCTCCTAGCAAAGGACTAACAATGTGAGGAAAAACTCCTTGGGTAAGTGAAGGAGAATTCTGCCATTGCACTTAGCAGTTTATGACTTTTTTTTGTGTGTGTCTGCACGGATAGCAGTTGTTTTGGCTTTGTTTCTAGTGGTTTACAAGCTGTTGCCAAATACAGCTTTTGTTCCCTTAAGAAGTTTGGGGAATCTGCTTTGCTTTGCAGAAGTTAGTGTTTTAAAGAGATTATTTTGTTTGTTTGTTTTAAATCATGCCTGTTGTCTGGGTAAATAAAGATTAAATGTGTCTCAAGTTGAAAAATAAACAAGATGAATAGGATGATGTATGTATGTATTTTAAGTAACGAAACTGTTCTGTTTTGGAATGAAGTACTGGCCCTTTTCTAAAATGTCGTCTTTCTGTGTTTGTGTGTTTGAACTTTTTAAAGGCCTGAAGATCCTGTCAGTAAGAAAGACAGGAAAATGTTACTTTTAGATACTTTTTTTTTCTTACCCATAGCCCTACCTCCTCCAAATGACTTTCTACTTAAACCTGAAATACTGTTAAGACTGAATTCTGTAGTTTCTCCTACAGGTTACTCTTGTAACAAGTTTTATATGCTAGTAAAAATGTGACATCATTACAGAAGTCTGCTTGACAGTCCTAAAATGCATACTTTTTTGGATCAGTTTAAAAAAAAAAAACCCACACAGATTTTACACTGCATCTGTTACCAGCGCATAGTAAATATACAAGGTCTTAGGAACACATTTTATGTGTTTTCTTATTTTATGCTCTCTGTAGAGGAATGTGAAAACATGAGCCGTTATGATAGACAGGAGAGAAATGCTAGGCAACATCAGGAAGGATTCTGGAAAAGAGTACCACAACAGCGATGGAATACGCAGGATCACTATCATCTTGGCCATACTGATCACTATATCCATGGTAAAAATGATTTGAACAGGTAAAGGACTTGTCTCTTTCCCCCCAAACAATTGAAATACTGTGAGAAATCTCTTTTGGCACTGAAGGGTCTCAAGTGATAATGAGTACAAGACATTTTTGGAATAGTTGCATGTCTATAAATAGCATGTCTGAGTGGGAGCATTACTGATTTATAACGATTTCTTTTCAAAACTTCTTGTTTCTGTCACGGTTTTTAAACACAAGTAACAAATCTTTGGGTTCTGTAATACTATAAATGCTATAGTAATATAATGCTATTGTATACTAATATAATATATTGCATTATATTAATATAATACTATTTTATAATTATATGATAAATATTACTAATTATTACTAATTTCATTATATAATTATGATAGTATGTATTATATATTCTGTTATATATTATATTATTACAATGCTATTATAAAACCCAACTTTTAAAAAATGGAACAACATTACACAGTCTTATTACTTGCATTTTGTAAGCTTGGACAGCTTTTTACTTATTAACTTGTTTTTAAATTAAATGTAATCCTATAGTTCTTATAGGCTAGCTTAAATGATAGTTTATAGACATACTGATGAGCAAACTGGTTTTATGGTACTGTAGTTGTTAGTCTGTGTGCGATTTATGCAAGTGGGAAGGAAAGTCCAGCACTTGAGTGAAATAAGATTGACATTTTCTGATTGATTTATTTTCTGCTGTATTTATTTTCTGCTGTATGCCACAGTGTGTGAATATAGCCCTTGTTACATAACTTTCTTTTTTACTAAATGCTCTCTAGCTCTAGTTTGTCATCAGTGTTTTTTTTGTGGCTTTTTTGTTTGTTTTGTTTTGTGTGGTTTTTTTTTTTTAGGGGATCAAACTACCTGGAATCTCCTATTGGTCACTTTGAAAGCTATGGAGCACCAAATTTTTACCAGGCTCCTAGACAGCTGGTGGGCTTACCGGAGAATACTGTGATGCTTGATGAAATGACACTTCGGCACATGGTCCAAGACTGCACAGCTGTAAAAACTCAGTTATTGAAACTGAAGAGATTACTGCACCAGGTGAGCTGTTTAAATGGAACAAAAGCAGTAAAGTATATTGGAGAGTGAGCCTAGATGGGCTAATGTTCTGTTTGGCCTTATTAGGCTATTGTCACTTCCTTTATACATCAAATTACAGTGTTCAAGAAAGTGTGCACTTTCTATTGCTATTTAAAATAGTACTTTTTCTGCTTTTTCAGCACTTTACTGACTGCAAAAAATATTAGATTCTGGTATTCTTCTCTGAGGAAATAATGTTAAATTTAAAAGATCAGTGGATGTGAAGACAAGCTTTTATTTAATAAGATCCTAAAAAGCTGAGAGTAAAAAAAAAAAAAAAAAAAATCGATCCCACTGATCAAACTTGCATTCAGCAAGTCAATGGTAACTGCTTTTTCTTAAGGCTTTGTTTTCCTCATTGTCTTAATCTTTTCTGTGTGTTTCGACGAGAAGCTTAGCAAATCCTCCTGGGTCATCTCTATTGGAAGTGCTCAAATTTAACCTTTCTAGTGTATATAATCACTGAATTGTCATAAGCTTTTGTCGTGGTTTAACCCCAGTCGGCAACCAAGCACCACCCAGTCGCTTGCTTCGCCCCCCTCCTGCTGCCGGTGGGATGGGGGAGAGAATTGGAAGAGCAAAAGTGAGAAAACTCGTGGGTTGAGATAAGAACAGTGTAATACTTGAAATAATAGAATAATAATAATAAAAAAATGTAATGGAAAGTAAAACAACGAGAGAGAGAAAGAAAAACCCGGGGGGGGGGAGGGGGAAATGATGCAACCGCTCATCACCCGCCTACCGACCAGCTCCTAGGAAGAAAATTAACTCTATCCCAGCCAAAACCAGGACAGCTTTCAAGGAGCTTTTTCATTTTGCCTCACAACTTGGCAAATTGTGAGAGTTGGTAAACTGCTGGATGACTCAGCAGAAGTATGGCATTTCGGCTACAAGAATTCCTTTGCTACCTTAAAAAAAAAAAACAAACCAAAAAACCAAAAACAGTCTGTGAGACTTTCTTTGGAGGCATATACAGATTTGCATTGAAAAGTATCTGTATGATGTTCTCTTTAATACTAGATTTACTGCTGTTCTTTTCTAGCAGGATAATGTAATGGAAATAAGTTTGTGCTCTAAAAGTAAGACACTAAAACAAAACACAGCAAAACAAAAAGCAAATCAACCATGAGGCTAATTCAAGGGTATGACTGTGCCTTTAAGAAATGTGACCATATGCTTCCGATGGTAACTGAGAATACTGGAGATGTTTTTCCACTGTGACAAAATCAGAAACGCAATTGTAACATAAATAATGTAGTGTCAGAGAGGGAAGATGTGTTCTTAGAGCCTAATGTCTGAGTAGTGGACTGCATAAACTGTGCCTCCCAACAGTCTCAAGTATGCAATTAATACATGAGATACCAGGGAACTTTTTATCCAGAGCTTTTAATGCCTGTAACACAAGGACAATTAAACAACGAGACAGATAATCCGTGTGTGTGTAGTTCATTGTGTAAAGGTGTGCATGTTATAGGCAAATAGTGTGTGGCCCTGCAGAATATTGTATTTTCAATCTTGATCTAGTTTATAATAGCCAGACTTTTCTAAAAGGTTACAGAATACAAACCTTGCCTCAAGTAGCTCAGATTAAGTTTTTTTTTTAAAACTTAAACCCACAGAAGAAACAGTTACTCAATATGTACGTTCTTCAAAATTTGCTGCTTCTCTTGCCAAAAGCTTGATCTTTTTCCCCCTCCCTCCCTGTAATAGCGAGTTCTGTAGTAACAAGTGTTATTCTTCCCTTCAAACTTTGTCAAGGCCACTTCTCCATATTTTCCTGACCTAACCGCCCCCTGTTTTAACTCGCTGCTTCCAAAATTCATCACTGGACTTCTGAATGTTTATTATACTCTTCTGTGTATTCTCCAGCCTTTTAATCAAACAATATGAATAGTAATGTAAAGTAAATTAACAGCTACAAAAGGGAAGACTTTAGACCTCTACTACCTTCATTTACTAAACAATTAGAGTAAAACTTGTATGAAATATTTTTTCATTATTTTTAAGTGTTAAACCTTTCCTGAAAATATAGAGCTTTATACTAACAGAAATGAGTAAAAAATATTGCAGTTCTCTTTTTTTCTTATTGTAGTGAACAGAAATACAATTTTGAAAACTGTCGTGGTTTAATCTCAGTCAGCAACTAAGCACCACGCAGCTGCTCGCTCACTCCCCCCCCCCCCC